AGAGGGCTTGTCCTTTATCCTCCTCGGCAGCAGCAGCAACAGCAACAGTACAATATTCGGTGTACGGTCCGATGTTGGGGATCCTCGGGTATGCGGCTGCTAGGGGCGAGGGGGGTCAGGAGGAAGAGATTCTGTGGCGCGTGACGGTTGACGTGAAGGTCCACACGGAGTAACTCGTTAACCCAACATTGGCCCTATAGCTTAAGAAGCTTTCCTTGAGGAAGGAGCGTAAGATCCTCGAGGAAGGAGTGCTATGGAGTTGCTTCTTATGGCACCCAGGAATCACCACTACAGATCCTGTGGGAAGAAGCCTGAGGAATGTTAGCCTGGTCGGCCTCTGGTCTAAGCCTTGGCTTACGAGGTGGGAGCAGAGAAGATCGGCCACCAGGGATCGATCCTGGGATCTTATGACTGTCAGTATGACACATTAACTGCAATAGCAATCTACCGGAATTAGACCTGCGCTTCCCAAGGATCGGTCTCGCCAACATGACGTATTAAGCGCCGCACCAGTTCACTAAACCCTGCGAGTTCTTGAATCATCCGCACTCGTTCAACCCGACATGCTGAGCTGTTCATAAGTATTCACCGTAACCCTCTGATTATCAGAGTCTGATATGCCCTCTTGTCTGCCCTTAACGCTACGACGAATAACGCGTCTTCTGGCATGCCTCTTCGTCAGAAGTACGACTCAACGCAGCCCAAACGTGGGGCAGCAAATGTAGTCCGTCGAGAGGAGAACTACAGTGACCAAGATCGTTCTGCTATTACTAGTGAACTCGACAGTACGTTAGTCCGAAGGTCGACTAAGTACAGTACACCAAAGCTCGTAAGCAAGGTAATTCCGTGAGGAACCACAAGCAATGCCGTAAGGAACCACAAAGCGTGACGCCCACTTGGTGGTGTGACGCACCAATCGATTACGCTACAGGGCGAACGAGATTAGAACTGCATCCTAAGTCTAAGGGAATGTCAAGCGATCAAGTCAGCAAGTTACAAGGTCTACATAAAGAACTTGCGTGCTGTTGTGCGTTTGCGTGCCGTCCCGCGTGCAACTGTGATCGCCAATGTGGTGGAGGATCGACGGCAATGTTGGCATCTTTCTCACCCATCGCATCGACCCTCTCGAGCCTCTTAGGGACGGCTATCCTTGGGTGGAGGAATGATTAGTACTATCCTGCAGTCCAACTGCTCAGTGTCTTTTGTGTGGTATTGCATACGTTGACTTTTCGAGATGACTGTGAATCACAGTCTGTGATACTCCCTGTTGGCTTCCATACCCTTCGCGTTCTCGGTGTCATACGGGTCCCCGACAGCAATGTGCAACCGCCAGAGATAGCTTCAAGTGATTTGACGACCCAGGTGGCGGGGAAGTTCATGAGTTTGCTCAGGAAGTGGTAGAGGTGTCGTTGCATACGGGAGATGTTCAGAAAATTAAAGCCATGAGTGTCATTGTTATCGCGTTGGCTTTAGAGTGGCTCGTCAATATAGCGGTAATAGTTATCATCAGTATTCTTGTTGCTTCTGCAACCAAATGAAAAGCTCCTGTATTAATCCCATCAAGCAACATGCAGTGTTCGTTGGGAAATACTTACAACTTTTACATCTGTCAAGATATGTGCTCATACCTATGTGGTTGGTCCTGTTCGGCTTGGGCGTTGTCGGTGTTACTCATATGTTCGACCACATGACCAGCGCCCTCGATTCTCCAGCTGGCTCGCCGTCATACGCCGCCACTCAGAGGACTTCGGCCCTCTTCCCGCAACAACAATTTGGTTCTCCCGAGGTCCTTTTAGTATCGCTTGATGGAGGTAGCCCAGGTGACCTTTTCACTAACGGTCTGTTGCATAATCTCACCGAGACCGTGCGCCATGCCTTCCCAGCCAACATGAAGGTTCAAATTGACGACTATTTGCAAGCTCAGCAGTCGGGGGAGCCTACAATCCTGTATCTCTCGGCTGACAACAGAACAACGATCTTCACGGTTGCTTTTGACATTGGTTTGGTCAGTGTCGCACCTCTTGAGGAAGCTGTAGCCGACGCTGTACGTGGGAGCTATGGCCACCTTGGCCTCTTTGTTGGTTGGGCGGGTATAGGGGCTTTGGGCGATGAGTCGGCGAAAGTCACAGAGCTCGAACTGGGTATAACACACGCTGTTGTGTTGCCTCTCGCCTTCCTCCTTTTAGCATACTCCTTGAGATCATGGCGGCTATTACTTCTACCATTGATATGTTTGCTTCTGTCGATTGCCATCTGTGGAGCTTGCCTGTATTTATTATCACTGTTAATGCCCGTCAACACAGGTGCTCCGATAATGATGTTCTTTCTCCTCATGGCCTTGTGTGTCGACTATTCTCTCATCCTCCTAACGAGGTTTAGAGAGGAGGTCACAGGAGTGCATCAAAGGTCGCCCTACGATGCATGCAAGGAGATGCTCGAACACAGTGGCCATGTGGTCTTCAGCTCAGGCAGCATTCTGTTCGTATGTTTTGTCTGGCTTATGATCATACCCATAGCCCTATTTAGAAGTATCGGTCTAGCCCTTCTGATATCAGCTCTCTGTGCAGTGTCAGTTAACCTCTCAGTGACCCCAACACTGATCGTGACCTTTCCAAAGTTCTTTGGTCACTTTGGTGGCAAGAGCTGTTGTCGTTGTTGGTCGTGGTGTCGTTGTCGTCGTCGTGATGATCGCTCCGAGGGTCAGTCCCCTCGCGGTCGTCGTCGTCGAAGTGGCCCTGGTTTCTGGTATAAGTGGGGTAAGCTTATGACATCCCGTTGGGCCGCAGTTGCATCTATCATTCTGTTGGTTACCCTGATAGCGGTATTTGGGTGGGCGTGCTCTTCCCTCACGATCACATCCAATATCTCTACGGCTAGTCCAAGGGACTCTCGTGTTGGGAAGACTTCGGAAAGGATCTCGATGGCATTCACACCAGGAATGAGCGGTCCGTTCAACATGGTCTTTGAGGCCCCTGGTGGTGACATATTCACGGAGAAGTTCTGGACGGCGGGGTTGAACCTGTGCCGGACGATCGACCAGAAGTTAATGAAGCAGCACCCTAAGGGATCTCTATTGGGCTCGATGTATTTGAAAGAACCGGGAATGCCCGCAACAGAGATTGACTTCAACCTTGCTAAACTTCTGGTCTCGCCCTCATGTACTGATCCCCGCTGTAAGCAGTACCAAGAAGGCTTGAAGAAGTCTATGAGCCCTGGTCGGAACGCGTTGAAAGTCACCCTCATAGTCGACGATGCTCCAACTTCACTACAAGCGTCCAGCTTCACTGAGAGTCTCCGCGATGTTATTGATACTGTTGTCAAAGAGAGCGATGGGGAGCTCATAGTCTGGCTCACAGGCATATCAGTTTCATCACATGATTCAATGTCTGCTGTAGTGGAAAGTCTGCCAGCGTTCGCAGCTGCCACGATCGCTGTTTGTCTCGTCTTGGTTGGTATTGTCTATCGTTCGCTACTCATTGCAGTCCGTGGAGTAATCACCATCGCTGTCACTTTGGTCTTCTCATTCGGCTTTGCGGCAGGGGTGTACTTAAATGGTTGGTTACAGTTCCTTCATTGGCCCGCAGTGGCATCAGAGTCGTCAACAGATGGTCTCTCATGGATTGCCCTTCCTTTGGCCTTCTCTGTCGTCCTTGGGCTCAGTCTGGACTATGACGTCTTCCTATTGGGTAGAATAGTCGAAGAACACGACCGTGGTGCATCGGACAAGACTTCTGTCATCATCGGTGTGTGGAAAGCTGGTAAAGTGGTTGCACTAGCCGGCTGTATCATGACTATAACTTTTTGTGGTCTTCTCTTCTCATCAACTCCTATGGTCAATCAGACCGGCTTCATATTGGTAACAGCCATTATTCTGGATGCTTTCTTCATGCAGGGTGTTGTGACACCATCACTTGTATCATTTTTTGGTAAAGCCAATTGGTGGCCACGAGGCTGCCCGCCGATTCACACCCCAGAAGACGATGTCCTGGCTTGCAGAGAGGACATAGATAGTGCTCAGATCCAATCTGATCCTCAAAATCTCGAAACGCCTAACGTTAAACTATAGGGCAATGATAGGCATTGGTTTATCATCCTTTACGATTTTTATTCGTTATCATAACTAGACTGCTTTTCATTGCCACTGTTAGCTTTTGTGTTGTGCTGCACACTGGATTGACCATGAGCTCAGTTAACGACAACCCTACCACTCCCGTCCAGCATCAGCATCATCAGCATCATCAGCATCATCAGCATCGTTAGCATCGTCGCTGCCAGTTAGCGGCAATAAATCTCCATTTCTCGTGACCTACATGTACTTCTCAAAGCAGCTTTCTAGCGGCTGGGAACATCGTTACGGCTCATTAGTGACGGTCTCAATGAGGGACCCTTGTTCGAGAATACCCTCAGTGGTCAGTGCTTGCTGGACTCTGAGCTAGGCTGGCCCCGCCTGGGTCCTCGAGGTCCCGGAGGGGCGACTGACTCGATCACCAGATGTTGTTCATTCGCGGGAGTCGGTCTGTTCTATTCAAGTCGCCTGTAATCGTTGCACGGTCATGGATACTATAGGTGAGATACTGTGTGATGAGCCCTATATCACGCCTGTGAGGAGTGAGGACGTTCAGCCATGATAAAGAGCAAATCGAGACTCACCTCGAGAGCATCCTCGTTATTGGATATTAACCTACTCGGACGCGATTACCAGCGACTTCGCTGGCAGCCCGACATTTCCTTTGTGCTCGCCTCGAGTATGTTCACTGCCGATCGAGAGTCCACAACACCTTTCCGACCATGGGTTCTATCCTCTGCTAACAAGGTCGAGTATCCGGTTATCAATCTTTACAGGTCTCAATATGTCGAATCCACGGAGGTCTTATACTATATCATCATTGAGTTTGTATTACGTCTCGCCACCTCCAGATTGATCAGTCTACTTCCATCCAGTTGGTTGCAATTTATTGTACGCAGTGCATTTCCTGCTTGGCCGTCGCTCAAGCACACTGTCGTAGCTTCAGCTCATTAACTGCGGTGATCTTATTCCTGTTGTTTACTTCCTTCTGAAAGTTGCCTCTGAATCGCCACATTCTGAAGTTCTTCCCATAGCACACTGCTGATTTTTCATAGAATTTTTTCCTCTATACCGTGCGTCGAGTTGTTCAGTGGAGCTGGGCGTCTGACACTAGGCCTTACGATGCGCTCGTCCGCTCGTTCATCACACGTAAGAGCAGAGGAAGATGAGCATGTAGCGGCTCTGAACGCCTGGGAGAAGGCTCTCAAGGATGCTACTTCTGAGGCTGCCTCGACAACAGTACTCAAATACCCAATACCTCAAATCTCAACTTAGTGTTTGGTAGGTCCATCGGAATCAGGTGGAAGCCCTGCAAACTGAAAACGTAAGTCAGCATAAGCTGTGCTCGGTATGTGAGCGCTGCCTCCTTCAGCTCAGCTTGCGGCAGTATTTACAGAGTGTGCAAAGGGAGGCTGATCGGCTGAGGGACTCAGGTCGTCGTGAACCCTCGTCATCATCCAGCGACCCTTCCAGTTGTGTCATCACTCAGTTACCGACTTGACGGAAGAGATCGAGGCCATGCGGCAAGTGCTAGCCACCAAGGATAAGGTATACTTTCGACACTCTTGACTTGGGCTGCAGTGGCATCGGCAGATTCACGTTGATCGTGTTGACAATCTATTGCAAGAAGTGGCCGCCCTGCGAGCCGACAATCAGCGAATGGCTGTACTCTCTGCAGATGCGGAGGCCGTGAGGGTCGAAAATGAAGAGATAAAACGACGCAATACCGATCTTGAGCAAGAGATGAACAGATTACGAAGTGATGGCAGTGTTGGAAGAACATGTGTTTGCTTTCCTCAACTGAGCTCAGGAGTTTCCTCACTAAAAATCACCAATCCGGATAGAAGTGAACAGAAACCAACAAGAATTTCTCAAAATTTCCTCAGAACTTCCATACCGTCACCAACACATGCATATTTTCCCACACTGAACGGTAGTAGCGTCATCGGCCTGCCTATTGGCATGTTCATAGGCTCCAACACCGCCCTCTCATCTCAATTGATGCAAGTGATGACCGAAGGCGGCCCGGAGGGAAGTTTTGCTGGTCGGCCGCTGCACGACGAGGAGGAGGAAGAGCTTTCATTGGCCGAAGGTTCCGATGATCCTAAAGTACCCTGGGCCGATACTTGATGGTTTCGCACACGCCCCTCAGGTTATTCTCGAGATCTTCAATCGTCAGCGTGCCCGAGCTCAGAGTCGAGAGACTGAGCTCATTGAACAAATAGAACGTTTGACGGAGCGTATTGGGGCGTTATCGACCGGGCCCTCATCAGCTATAGGGAGGGAACCCCCACCACCTCAACCACAGCCGTCGTCGTCGTCATCATCAACATCAGAGAGCCAGGTAGCATCGCTCGTGGTATTGCCAATCACTGCTTACGTCCTCTCAGACTGGCACTGCTGCGAGCATCGGATCTCAGTTGAAAAGTCGTGTTCAAAACATAAGCACACAATCCGGTATCGCTGAATTCGCGGGAAGATTTTTTGGCTGAGTGTCCGATGCATTGCGTTGTTCAAGTGACTTCGAACGCAATGGGGGTTGTGCGCATGATAATAATTATAACATTACATGTGCTGCTCTGGCAAATACTGGCAAGTACCCAATAACACCTGAATTGACCATATTCGACAGAAAATATAAACGATGAGCTTCTCAGCGCTGATTGCTAGATTAGCCAGCGTACGTCTCGTCTTCTGTCAGTGCGCCGTCTATTGAGGGCATAACGTTGACGTGCTCCCACGCGTCCTCATCTTATCATGACCAGTCCGATGGAAGGTCTTGGATGCCTCAACATTGTTGAGTCGACGATTTCACGGTCTGTGATGATACCTCGTCCCGATAGACCCGGGCCTGACAACAGTGCCCTTCTTGTGACCATATTTGCCCTGAAAAATGGCCTCATTGAGTGTCTAAAAGCCGAATCGTCTTCATCAAATATATGACTACTGGTGGTCACGTTAATGATGATGATGTTATTGACCAGAGGCTACGTACAGCAGTGATCTCATAATAGCTCCTCGAGTACCCCGCCCGAACCTCATAATGACAGCAATAGGAGTCCTGCCCACCGACTGGATGCTAACCCAGCCTCCTATGATGTTATAAAGCCGTCACCCGTCACGTCAACTACTTGTTCCTCGTGGGAACTCCTATAGAGAAGATCGCCTTATACAGTTGGTTGAACGTGCGCGTCGTGAATCATTTTCATTACATCACATTGTCACGGATTCCATGATGAGAATTCTACAAGGAAATGTCATGGCCGCCGATTCCCGACGCCGTAGGATAACGGACTTGTACATCGTCATCGAATAGCGATGCTTCCCATTCACGTACTCCAAGGGTATCAGGATAGTTCAGGCGACTCGTTTTCTCAATTCCAATAAGGTATGTATTCCCGAACGGTTGGCTGCCGTCACTTTTTATTTCATGTAGTCTCGACTCCCTTCCCTAGTGTCTCGGACAATTGAATTGACTTGAATTACTCTTGTGTTGAACTCAAGAGCTCAGTAAGCCAGTACAATGGATGATGGTACTGCCGTCGTTATGGCTATTATTACTATTATCACCAGATATCGTGCGAGAATGTGAGAATAGTATGCAATAATGATGATGAAGACGAACGCTGCCGCTGACTACAGCTATCATCACTACAACAACCCACTAATACCATCATAATGTCAACCACCAGTCGACGTCGTTTACACAAGTATAAAACAGGAGATAGGTAATCCAGTGAGCGCGTTAGGACTAGGATCGTCGCGCGCCACAAAAGTTGCCAGCGCCTCCGGTAGAATGTTGGAAGCTTTGTGTCCGCCCAAACGATCGATTACATGATCAAATGATAAGATCAACACAGACTTGACGATGGTGATGATGATGACGGCATGATAATGAAAGGTACAGATGATTGCTAGAGAATATGGAAAGTGAGGAACAATAGCCGGGAGGTATGTCCATGATAACGATGATGATGATACTAGCCTGCCGCATAGCATATGATAGAAGCATCCAGGACAGTTTAATGATGATG